ACTGTGCGGAATTTATGAGCCCTGGCATATAGGAATGAGAATGGTTAAGTTAAATTCAACTTTAATTTGAATTTGAGCTTATTACTACAAGTATCTACAAGAACTAGAAAAACATTTATTGTAGTTAAGGCAAAGACAACTTTTTTACCATTTGTTTTAGGTTTGTGGCAATTGCTTTGACATCTGCTTAACACACATACATTCATACATGTACATAAGAAAAAGTCTTAGGTCTTAAATTAGTGTTAAGATGAAACTGAACAAATTTGATATCATCATAAAGTCGGAGTTGCGACAAGTGTAGTGCTTAAAATGAGGGCAATTTATATTCGAGGGTGGTATTTCGACACCATCAATGTGATGCAGCATTACTCGTAGAGCACGCCCACTATGTGAACAAAAATAACCAGCTCAATAAGATAATATGCCGGTATCTGGTTTCAAGAGCGATGCAACATCTGCCGCCTCCGCCCATTTTCTAAACCAATTCGGAGCTCATAAATTTAACGTTAATGGACCCTTCAGTGAGCGAAGATTGAGACAGCTTCATGCTCAACTCGTATTATATGGTGTTAAATTTAATTTTCTTAAATAAATCCATGCATACATACACATTAATAAATTTGAAAGAAATAAAAATCCTTTATAGTTTCCTTGAGTTTATTGAAATTATTAAATTTTTGCGCATGTATGTATATACATATGTAACATGAACATTTTTACAGGACCTCTCTTTTTATACCCGGTACTCGAAGAGTAAATAGGGTATATTGTATTTGTCGTGTCCGACCACATAAAGTACTTATATATATTCTTGATCAGCATCAATAGCCGAGTCGATATAGCCATGTCTGTCTATTCGTCCGCCGTTTTCCATCAGCTTTTATTTACACATTATATTTACACATTCGGCTCTACGGGAGGGGGGGCGATCTAACAGGGCATGTTGGCGTGAAAATTGATGTAGATGTATAGGTCATAGGTAGAAAATGTAAAACTACTACTCAGTATCGGGTCGACACGTCCCTTCTCGTTCTTTATAAATTACTACTCTTACATATCTACGTACATTTGTACAGACATCTATGCAACAGTTGACTAATTACAATGCAGGATTTGCAAAGTTTTCTTGTTTTCCGAGTGCGTTTTCGCTATTATGCTTAATTTGACATGGAAGAAAAAATAAGCAACGTCAACACAGTCGTTTTGCTTTTTATACGAGGGCGGGCTGAAAAAAAGTTAAGTTAACATAATACATTTTTAGCTTTATATACCTTTCTAAGCATTTATCCAAGTTTTTGTTGCCTTAAAAAAATTAATATTCCTAGGTTCTCTTATTAGGCGTTTTTTGCGAGATAAATACATTGTTGGACTAAAATCTTAGGGTTTTGACATTTTACATTTTTTCTAATCTGTCATCTACATCTACAGCTGCTGGACGGGTGGGTTAAGCCACTGTAATTTCGTCATTCTGGTTATAATAATGATCCAATCGGATCCCCATTCAGTGATCTGAAATCCCTACGGAATTTAGATTTCTCTTATCCTTAAAATTGTGGATACAGCAGATTTATGCCCTTTTTGGAGGCGGGGCTAATTTTTTAAATACACTTGTATCAGTGTGATATCACAGTAGTCTATTGACAACATTTGGTGGATCTAGCTCTTAAAGTCTCTGAGAACTAGCGGGCAAACAAGACGGACGGACGGACGGACAAACATACAGACAGGCAGATATAGACTCGGCTATTGATGACAGCCATCTTTCGGAAAGTTTTTTCATACACATTTGATCATTCAAAACTAAAACTACACAGCGATGTGGTTGCCTATAGCTTTCAGACTATCTTGCAATTTCAATCTCCGATTGATTTTTTTTAAATAGGCTTGGATAGCCAATTTTTTACCATTGGAATATATGGTGTAGAGACAAATACTATTGTATTTATCAACCTTATAAATGGATTCAGTGGCGGATATTTTGTTATTATTTTATTAGCACACAAAATTAACTTTTATCAATTTTGTCTTAAAAAACCATGCTGAAACTTACGCGAAAGGGTGGCAAAAACGTCTGAAATTTTGTCATCAATGTGCTGATAGAAAATAATAATCGAATAAAATATTTATGGGCGGTTAGAAATGTGTTATATTGGGTAAGGCCGATTACTTTTCAGCCCGACCTCGTCCGAGTACGAGTTGTGCCATTGGAATCCGTTTATGCATGGATACATACCTACATACATATGTATTTATATGTTTGTACATATGCAAAGCCCAGGCTCGACAACGTCTATTATTACAAGATGGAAAAAATAAGGGTAGGATTTAGTACAGTACAACCTCCAGTTCCGCTCCTTTCTATTGTACTCTATGTCCGTACGAAAGGCCTTTTTTATACAAAGTCAAATGGAAGTGTAGAGGCCTCAAAAGGGTGTTCGGCTTGTACAGTATCCATACATATGTACATTCATACATATGTACCTAAAGACATCCTTAACCAGAAAAAAAAAAGATTTATCTCCGAAGGTGTTTTTAAGTATATTTAAGAATACATTAGATATTTATGTATGTACATATATGTATGCACAACATTTCTATAGGTTCTGTTTTACTGGCTCAAAACTGTTTTCGAAAGAGTGTACAATATTCAGTACTTTTTTGATTTTATTCTACATTTTAAAACTTGATTCTGTATGGTATTTCGTTTCATTGAAGTGGAAAAGGACAAAAGTCGTTAATTTGTTTATTGGATTGCGCAAAGTATACAGTTTCGAGTGTTCAAAATGCCCTCAACAACGACCAAATAATAACAGCTCAACAAAGGCAGCAGCCAGCATGCAACCATCATTGCCGCCGGGAACTCAAAAAAATGAGGAGAGCTGAAACTATTGTTCATTTATATTCTACGTTACTTCCAACCCTGTCTTATTCTCCCCGACAGGAGTTTCAGGCCCACTAGGAAAAACTAATAGGGTAGATAGCTGTTGAGCTTTAGAGTAATTTTCTTTAGAACGTGAAGCGAAATACAACATAAGCTTTCAAAGTGAATTATTATGATTTTAAAAATAAATATCTGAATTTTGGTCCCGCCATCATGGTACATCAAATCACAAAATTACTCTTTAATCAAAAAGGTCACAACTTTTATACCCGGTACTCAGTAGACATCTGTACCTCAGTGGTTTTATTTAAATTTTTCCTCTAGACTGCTGTGATATCACACTGTTACTAGTGTATTTAAAAAATTAACCCCGTCCCCTTACGCCCCCACAATCCACAATTTTGAAGATAAACGAAAACTAAAAATTTCATTCCCTACGGAATATCAGAATATCCAGAATGTGTATCAGATCACCGAATTAGATTGGATCATTATTATAGCCAGAATGAAGAAAATCATTTGCAGTTTCTACGCCAACCCCGTCCAGCAGATTTTTTATATTTCGTGCAGTTTCGTGCAGTGTACTGGTCTAGGGGAGGGGGCGAGCTAAAAGAGCGTGAGAAGTGATGTAGATATAGATTACAGATGTAAAATTTGAAAAAAAAACCACTAAGGTACAGATATACTGACTACAAAAGTTGTGACGCGTACGAAGTGGCTCACACGTCCCTTCTTGTTGCTTGTGACTGAATGGTTCGACCGATTCTTATGAAAATGTTGTTGCATCTTAACTAGTCTGCAAAAAGTTTGTAATCATCTCATCATAATTATAATCATCATTATCTTTTCATCTTCATATCACCATTAACTTTTAATAGCGATGTTGGTGCTTCGAATCAAGATAGCTTGGCTTAAGCCATCAGATTTTCACATAAAATAATATTCGCCTGTGTGTGTATACTTTATTTATACTCGGTACTCGAAGTAACTCATTCTTGATCAGCATGAATAGCTGAGTCGATATAGCCATGTCCGTGTCCAAGTCCATGTCTTTCCGTCCGTCAGTCTTGATGAGATCCTGGATATCAGAGACATCGAGTTTGCTGTGTTATCATACTGTTACAAGTGTATTTCAAAACTTCTTCCAGCCAACGCACAGAAGGGCGAAAGTCAGCTACGTCCACAATTTTGGAGAGAGAGAGAGGAGAAAAAAAGCCAGGGACCGTAAATAAATGAATTTTTTTCCACAACATACTGCCATTTGTAATTATTTTATTTGTACAAAGTTCTTGTTTACTTCTTATTGCAAAATTACATATTTTTAAGGCCATAAGCCTTTAAGCAGTTACAAAACCACGCCGTACGTTCTTTATATAACGAGTGGTAAATCAACTGTAGGGAAACTGATATAAAACGAGAAGGGACGTGTGAGACGCTTCTTGCGCGTCAAAACTTTTATACCCGGCACTCAGTACTACATCTGCACCTTAGCGGTTATTTGTCAAGTTTTACATTTTTTCATCTGTCAGCCACATCAACAGTACTCATGCCAACACGCTCTTCAAGCTCGCCACCCTCCCCTAGAGACACACACTGCAGAGTCAGGCAGAGACGCGGCAGAGGCAGAGACGTGTCTGCGTGTGAGTGTGAATGAGAGAATGTGCAAAAAACAAATATAAGCTGCGGGACGGGTTGGGTTTAGCCACTGCAAATTAATTGCTTCATTGTGGCCATAATAATGATCCAATCGGATAATGATCCAATTTGGTGATCTGATAGAGATATAGCCATTCCCTACGGAATTTTTAGTTTTCTTTTATCTTCAAAACTATAGGTTTACTTTAAACTTTAGTACCTATGAGGTTATCTAAATAGTTTTCAAAATGAAAATAGAATATGTGTTCTAGAACGTTAGACTCGATTCGATGGTCTGTTGCTCGCATAAGAAGATTAAAATTGTGTAAACTTTGGCCTTAGAGCATTTTTTAAATAAATAATTATTTACATTTCAAATAAAATCGAATCTTTTCCAAGACGTGGGTTACCTGAATTTCGACTCATCCTCTCACCGTTAGGAACATATTCACATACATATATAAGTATTAAGTAACGCGAATTCTAGTCACATATGTATACATATACGGATTTATTTTGAACAGGGCTAAGTCCAATTATTACCCGGCCTTTAATTCAAATATATATTTAATAAGGTTTCTCATTCTACATAAAACTTGAGTTTGTCGTTGCAGCTTTCGGAGTTGTTATGGGCCGTCGACATAGTCCCGAACGCCAACATTTATGCGACCCTCTGCAGCGGTTACCGAAAACCCGAGAATGCGTGCGTCTATCTTAGTCATTTTGTTCTTCTTGACCTTCTTCTGCTTGTTCTGTGGACGAAACGTTTAAATTGATATAAGGGAGCTTTAAACAATTTTACAAACCTTGCTTTCAGTATTATCGTTTCCTGACGGTGTTATAGCGGGAGCGGGCTGGCACATATCATCATTGTGCGCGTTTTGAGCTCGCTGCAAGCTCTTGTATTTACTGCGACGCTCCAGAAATTGTTTGGCAAAATCAGATGAATCTTTTCCTTCACCTAAAATTTTTTTATTATTAAATATCGTAATTGTATTTACTTTAATAGTAAAGGTAATTTAAACATAGGTTAATATAAATTCTAAAATTTGTTTGATGCATCCATCATAATTTGCGCTGCAAGAACACAAACAATTCCTTTGCTGGTTTATGCAAGGAGGAGGAGGTCTCTTGCTTTTCATATATCCACTTTTCACCCATTGCAATATGGGAATAAAGACCGAATTTTTGGCACTTATGTAATTTTTTTTGTCCAAAATATTTGAATGTGACTTAAGTTTTCTAATTCCTAAATATCCAGATAGAACAAATCTGGTTTTAGAAGATTTTTACGGAGTACCATACATTTTTGGCGCGCTTTCAAAGTCGGCTGATTTTGAGATGCTTCGACTTGTGAAAAAGTGCGGGAAAAATTGAGCAACTTGCAGCTGTAATTGTAGCTCGATTACAAAGTTTATATACAAGTAAAAATATGGAAATAACAGGTCGAGGTATTTAAATTAATTGTTAATACATGTTTTTGTATGGTTGTGTGTAGTTATTTAATTGTCCAATGTTTTGTTCGTGTGTCTTTTTAGCTTGGTACTAACAATTGCACGAGTTTTCTGTGGAATATTACTTTTGCACAGCACACCACTGCACAGAAGTTCAAGTTACTTGTTATTAACCATATATTATAGAATCACGTGGTGTTAATGCTTTTTGCCCGTTTTTGCGTGCATTGACCAATTTTTCCGCTAATATTTTGTATTCTGCTACACTGTCTCACACTTCTCACGCTCTCTTCTTACGCGTCACAACTTTTAAGCCCGGTACTCAGTTTTTCCAATTTTACATTTTACATTTTTTTACATCTGCCATCTGTTGATAACATAAATTGTTACACCAACACGATCTTTTAGCTACACCCCTCCCCTAGAGCCGCACACTACACAAAGAAGAGTGTGGATGAGAAAAACAAATAAAAATGCTGCTGTACGGGGTGGGCCATGATCAATTTTGATCACTTGCCAGCAGATCGGGGACCCGAAAAATGGCTAAAATCGTGATAAATTGTCACAATAATGACAGTTTTCACCTAATGTAGTAGTCTACTCAAAGAATTAATCTAAATCCCATTAAAAATCTACGTGATTTTCTTTAAAAACTAATGGAAAGGTATGAATCCGCACCAAAGGGAATGTATTACCTTTAGGTAAAAGAATTGAATAATTTTTACAGATTTTACAGGCGCTTAAATTGAAAAGTGGTAACCAAGTATTCGCAAATGCTCGTCACTGTATGTATGGCCGAGACATATTTCATTTTTTTTAACCCCGGTACTCGAAGTGTTTAGAGATATTTTAGTTTTGGTGTGGGTGTTTTTGGATTCATTTGTTTATTTCTTCTAATCTAGTCTTTTCTTGTTTTATAATTTTGTACAATTTTTGTACAATAGCAAACAGTTCTCTGCATATCTAGCTACGGATAGCTACGGTCTAAAGGTACAATTTGTATGTTTATATTTATTTGCGGTACGTACCAAGGTATATGCGCACATAGTCCTTCACCTCATATGGTGCCTCTAAGTCCTGCAAGAATGCAACAAACGTGGGTACTGCAAGTATAAGAACAATTATAAAAGTTAGTGAACTCCTGGCTGAAAAATATATTTACCATCCACTTTGGCGGTCATATTGTCCAGGCTTCTCATGCACCAGCTAGTAAACTCGTTTTCATATTCGTTAACTTTATTGCTGGCCTGGTCCATATGCCCCTTGCTACTCGGTTTTCTTTCCTTGTCTTTTTCTTCCGTTGAGGTAGGTGCCACTTTTGGACTCGCTTTTATCTGACTCGTTTTGTTCTTTTCGGGATTCTGTTGTTGTCCTCCAACAGCTTTGGTCGTTTTTACCACGTTTTGCATGGTCGGCAAAGTCTGGCTCTTTCGCAACTTCCGCGGTGAGTCCGAGGCTGCTGCCGACTTGGTCTGTGCTTGTACGCTATGTTTTTCCGACGAATGCAGACCAGCGGCTAGAACAGCCGCCGCAGTTACTGGTCCAGCGCCACTGGCACTGGCCGACGGTTGCAAAACGATTGGATTGACCGACGTGGAATTGGCATCATCCCATAAACGACCGCCTGTTGTCAATGAAAGCGAAGAAGAGTTGGGTGCACTCCATGCCTTATTAGCAGTTCCCCAGATGTTGGACAGGCCACACGTCCCACCCACATTTGATGCTACAGCAGCCTGTTGCTGTTGCTCTACTTCACGACGTCGCTGCTGTTCCATGAGTTCATTGGCCAGCCGCTTGGCCTCCTCTGCCTGAATATCAGCTAGGCTCATTACGGGCGCAGGAGCGGGTGCTGCCTGCCACTTAAGAAGAGCATCGTTCGCCTCGGCCGCAGCAGCTGCAGTGGCTCGCATTTGTTTGTCCAACTGTTCCTGCTGTCGCTGCTGATCCGCACGTCTTTCTCGCCTTTCCGCCTTCTGTATTTCTGCCAGTCCAGGCGCGATGCTGCTGGCTTTCGGCGATCGAAGCGACCATGGCGCAACTGATGTCGCAGCCAAACGAGAAGCTGCTTGTAGATCCCCAGCCTTTCCAACGGAATGCTTGGTGTTAGCTGCAGATCCTGCTATGCCTAGAAAATATCATCAAAAAAAGCTCTATAAATGGGTAAAAGTAAGGTCAAGCAAGGCGTCACTGCAAACCAAGCATTGTAGAGATATTTTCAGCTACAGCTGACCGCTTTGTGTATTCTAAAAATATTAAGGCTTAAGCAGAATGGTCGAATTTTGAAGGTCAATGTGAGGCGTCAGTGTTGGAACCTTGTTAAAACTGAGGCTTAATTTATATATATAGATATTATATTACGCACCTGTGGCTGGACCTTGAATTGGGGCTTGTGCGCTACCTAGTAAAGCCTTCCGACGCTGACCTTGTATTTGCAGTTGTCGTTCCTTTTCTTCCAGCGTTTGTCGAGTTTTTTCTTCTTCCACATGCAAGGCACGGCGTTTCTCCTCTTCCAGTTGTTGACGCTTGCGCTCCTCCTTAAGTCGCCGCTTTTCCTCAGCTAGCTCACGCCGCCGCTCTTCCTCATTAATGCATTTTGACGGTGCTGTCTGTTGTGACGGTCTGATCGCCAAGTTTTGCTTATTAGTGTGTTTGACATGAGCCGGGGACTGTGAAGGATTCTGATCCTTGATTGCCTCCACAGCCGCAATAACTCTCTGTTCTGGCTTTGGACTGACCGATTCCTTTAGATGATTTTTTTGATTGTCAGTAGACTGGGACCGATCGCCCAAGTTATCCACTTCAGCAGTTAAAGGGGCTGCTGCTCCAGCAGCAGCATCTGGGGATTGCACTACACCTGCCATGCATTTTTGTTGCTGTTGTTGAGCCAGTAATTGCTGCTGCTGTTGCTGTTGGTTCTGCTCTTCTTCCAATGTGGACACGTCCCACAGGGTGACCTTAGCGTTTGCCATTCCAGACCACTGTGGGTTCGGTGGTTGTTGATGAGCAGGCAACCACATTGGAATCATCAGGTTCTGCGCTGGCAGCATTCGTGACTCGATGAGGAAATCCCCACCAGTGGGATTTTCACTACCAGGATTTGGTAAAGGAGGCCGCGGACGACCAATTGTTGGCTGTCCTCTCAGCAGCATACGCAAATTGTATTCGGTGAGCAAATCCATTTCGGTGCCATGCATCTCGTCAAGTTTATTCGGCTCAGCTGCCGATCCAGTCAGCACTGCCTGGTCCGTATGCTGTTGCGACGGATGCGAAGCAGCCTGAAGCTGCTGGGTTTGCTGATCCATTAGCTTGGCGTTGTGTATGAAATTGTTTGCTTCCAGAAGATTTCCCAGTGGCCGCTGTTGGTCTGCGCTCTTGGCAAACAGCTGCTGCTGATCTTTTTTACCCTGCTCAGCTATAACATGGTACAACTGGCTCCCGGCTGCCGGATTTAGTACAGCCAGTGAGTTACTCAGCCCGCTCAGGCTGATCAAGTACTCTGGCAGAACGAGTAACTGAACCTTGCGCCGCACTACCGACTCACGCTCGACAGCAGAGAGCCGCTGAAAGCACTCGTTTTTTGACAGCTCATTGACTATCTGGTACTCCTGGTGCTCCAAGTACTGATCTTGCAGCATCTGGAATCGCATGGTCAGAATATGGGATGTTGCATCCAAGCCACTTCCGCCCATATTTCCTTTAATGGCAGTGGTCAGCGAGTTTGCTGCAGCGGTCACATTCGCTTTGAGCTCTTCTCTTTGCAGTTGTTGCTGCAATTGCTGTTCGCCCAAGGAGAGGGAAAGAGCAGCCGACGATGACTTGCGGGGCGTAAGTGGAAGTGGCACAGGAATAGCGGCTGGCATCTGTCCAATAGGAAGATTGTCCAAATCCATCGGTGATGGTAGCAAATGGCTGTGCGAAAACGGCATGTTGCCGTGGCAAAGCTTTATTAGCTCGCCCAGTGGCCTGAATCTACTGTCGGAGAAGCGACGCACGAAGAGGTTTTCATTGAAGTATCCGGCTCGATACCATTCCGTCATCTCCATGGCACTGAACGGGCCCTGAACATTCGACTGAGGATCCCGGTAGAACCACAACTCGTTTGGATTCGGATTCGAATTCATCATCTGCGCCGTAGGAAGCATTGTCAGATGCTGTTGGTGCTGGTGTTGCATGTGGTGGTGATGTTGCATAGCTAACTGGTCCGGAAAAGGTAGACTCGGATGTTGTTGCGATGGATGATGGGCAATGTTTGAATTGGAAACCGGAATCGGAACAGCAATAGGGATCGCAGGATGAGTATGCGGTTGCTGAAGCAGAACAGAATCGCCCAAAGAGTTCGACTTAATGCTCATCTCAATCTCTGCTAGACCAGGCATTGTTGTTACAAACCGGCCGCTATCTATTTGTGGTTCTCTATTGTTGTGGGAAACTCTAGGTTCATCGTCCATTATCAGCTTCTCCACCTCATCGGCCACTTCTTTGATCCTATCCGATATATCCCCGTGGACAGCTTCACGAATAGAAGCTGTAGGGTCTGGAGACTGTTGGCAGTTTTTAGTCAAGTTCGGGAATTTCTGTGGGTTCAATTCTATCCTCCCCTCGAAGTCATTTTCGCCTGTATCGCTTTCTACGTCAGTGTGATGCCTGCTCCCAGTCTGAGGTAAGATGTTGTCAGAGCTTGAAGATGCAGAGTTTGCCGCATCAGTGGAGTCCCTTTGTTCAACTAAAGCCTTGGCTGCCTTATGTAGATCGCCATCACCGTGAAACGCGCCACTTGAATCAAAGGTGCCACCTAATTCAGATGGATTCTCCATAGCCCACTCGGGAAGATTGTCCTCGGTATCACCACCGCCGCCTAACCACAATTGAGAATTTTTACCGCCCGGCTGACGGATAGGAGCGGCAGTCAGCCCCGATCCCGTCTTACCACTACCTCCTCGCTCCCGGTCAACCTCTACAGTCCCAACCGTCGAAATAGAACGCTGTACACTGGCCAAACTATCCAAGTGGGAGTCCTCGTCGCGCCAACTGGTAGATCGACCTGAAATACAAGTTACAGTGTTAATTAAATTCCTGTCAAATACAACAAGCAATACTCTTGAAAGGTACCAGTACAACACACCGAACAACATACAGTTGTGTTCAATGAAAGAGTAGTGCCGCACTATAATAATAATCCAATCGGATCCCAATTTGGTGATCTGATAGATATGGTTTTCATTTATCTTTAAAACTTTAGATTTGGGAGGTTTTCGCCCTTTTGCGGGGTCGGGGCTCATTTTTTAAATACACTGGTTTCAGTGTGAGCATATAGCAGTCTGGATGCAAAATTTGGTGGCTCTAGCTCTTTTAGTCTCTGAATACTAGGCGCTCAAAAAGACGGACGGACGGACAGACAGACATGGCTCAATCGACTCGGCTATTGACTTTATGGGGTCGAAAACGTTTCCTTCTGTGTGTTACATTCTTTGTGCACAAATACAATATACCCTATTTACTTTTAGAGTACCGCGTATAAAAACTAAAATTAAGTTGGATGTGCTCTTACTGTTATATTTAACCGTTTCAACTAAAAGACGAACCCTGAAAAATAATTTTTTTGGCTGAAAAATTGTCTTTTAGTAGATGGTCGAAGATGGTTAAAGGCAAGACCAATATACTTTAATATCTTTAATATACTCAAAAATTAGGAAAACAATTTTATATCGCCCTGAAAGGGTTTTGACAGTGACAACACCACTTATTACACATTATTTAGTTGCAAGAGGTCCCATGAAGCTACGCGTTTGAGGAGTAAAGCACATGGGTACACACCTCATGTTTTGAAAAATGTGGACATGAGGCATGTGGACTGGGCCGTGTCACAGTCCGAAAACTACTTTTGACAGATGAGAGTTAAGTTAAGGAAGACTCAAAAGAATATGTTTGGCGTTCACAGATATCTGATAACTGCCCAAATTCTTGAAAAAAAACATTGGGTATGTTTCGTTGACAATTATAAGCTACAGCCCGTATAAACTCGTACTTCCTAGCCAGGCACTGACGTATTTCATAAAGTGGTGTCTGCCAGCATACTTTTTAATACAGTACATTAATATTACTATTGAAAAATTCCTCTCAAAGGGATCTTTTAACAAGATAATGATCTGAAACACGCAAGAAAGCTCGCTAGGAATGGAATTTTATCCGAAAAGGTCGACACTCTTCCATGTCTAGCTCAGTCTCTAGACTAAAATCTCAACGAAATCTTATTGTAAAATGTGAAATGTGTTATTACTACGATTATAATTCCGTAAAACAAAGCACAGTTTTGCCAAGTGGTTTAACAACTATGGTCTCAGATCCTATTTAAGCTTGGACAGTACCTTATTTACATATGCCAGGTGGGAGTGAGGCCATAGTGAAAACAAATTTGACTAAAAACTACACATTTAACCTCAAGAAACATATGAAACATATGCATAAATTCCAGTTTCGCTTTTTTTTTTATTTAAAAAAAACTACTATTTTATTGAACAGCAGTTTTTATGGGTATTTTTGTAGTCATGTAAAACAAGAAGATGGAATGCCGAGATTCTTTCTGTGTTCTAATGTGTAAAGTTCGGGCTTTCCAAAAAGGTATCACTTGTTCAATTCGAAAGACTGGAAGGGTCTCAAAAATAGTGGTGAAAATTGTACGGCGCGGCACTACTTTTTCATTGAACAAAACTGTACATATGTGCTTGCTTGTGTACATTGTACATGGGCCAAGAAAATGTAATTAGAATTCATGAACATAAATAAAGCGCTAGTTGTCGAAGTGTAAGGCGATTCATCTGATCATTTTCATTGATCATTTCATTGGTAATTCCCTACCATTCGATTAACATCTCGACACTTGTAAGTTGAATATATGAAAATAGCAACAACAAAAACTTTCTGGAGCTCTAAAAGCGTTTTAAGCGTATGTAAGAATCATAATTCCCCCTGCAAGCGTATGAAAAGTAAATATATTAAATATAAAGGAACTGATAACTCACCCCAGCGGTGCGAATTGCCCACAAAGCTAGAATTGGTACTTGATCCTCCACCACTGCTTCGCCATCCGGCAAGATCCGATCCCGTTAGGTTGTTGCTTGAAATCGGGCCGTCTCCAGCTCCATCCTCGTTTCGGCTGCGCCGCCAGTTTTCCATGTTGCGATGATGACTTGAGAACTCTTTTCTTGGACTCGAACTTGGTGTCCCGTTCCAGTCCAGGCCCCCCGAATTACCCTGTGATGTGCTTACAGCGACTGAATCACAAGTTCCATTTCGCTCGTTCCAGTTTCGTTCGATCTAGGAAGAATAATTAAGTGCATTTACTCATTCAGCTTCGGAATCGCCACCCAGCCTATAAATCAGCGGTATTCACTTACCTTGGTGGACATGACTGACAGACCTTCATCGTATAAACCGCCAGGGCGCTGATATATCGGATGATAAACTGATTTTCCACGCATTCGGCCTCGGTCAACTGTTCCACCACGTCCAGTGCCACGCGGAGCTGTTCCAAATCCACCCGCCGACCGCTGCAACCAGGCCGGACGAGACTGCTGGCAGGATAAATCTTGTTAACAGAGTTATGCGAACGGTAAAGGTTGCACTTACGCTACTCCCAATTTGATTATTGTCTTCTTCAGAGCTGGGCGTCAGGGCAAGAGGATACTGAACCTTGTCCACAAAAAGCTTCTTAAACGAAGGTAAAATCTGCGGCAACAAACAGTGCCGATCAAACAGAGACAGCATTTCCTCACGTCCATATCGATACTCAGGAAACATGTTGCGAGAGGAAGCTGCTGCTGCTGCTGTTGTGTTGTTGCCAATGCTGTGCGTTGCCAGACAGCTGTTGGCGCCTCCACCAACGTTATTGGTATTGGCAGAAGGTTCCGCCGACATATTGCGCAACCATTCTGGACCAAACTTCATAGAATCTGTCATTTTCAGTAGCCTCTTGTTTCCTTTATATTTTTCTCAAGCTAAGCGGAAAAGAACATGATAAAAATTGAGTTCGAATTTGACTAGCAAATCATGTGCAAGTGAAGATGATAATCTGTATTTTAAATTGCTTGCTTATCCGCTAGTAACTATATAACACTGTCGAAGGCTTAAAATTGCTATAAAATAGTCTATTTTATTTACTGATCTTGGTATTAATCCTGATAGCGCAAATGCTTAAAATCTACTTTATGATTGCGTTGGTTTGATAAAATATCAGCAATCAATTTCGATCTGATCATTGTATTTCATTGCATAGGTGTGCATGGAAACAAGAGAGTATTTTACCAAATTTAAAGAAGGATATCAAAAATAAATAGTTCAAAGCAACGCAACCTAACCTAAAAAGGGAACTGAGTATCGCACACAAACGTAAACTACAAAAAAAATCACACATGCACACAACAATTCTACATTTTGGACGACATATCAAGCCTAAGTACGTGTATATGTAGTATTTCAGCATGTGTTTTCTCATGCTCCTATTTAGTCATTCTAATCAAAATCATTAATTGTAACACACACATGCAAATATAAAATTGAATTTACTGCAAGACACGAGAATAGGTAATATTTTAAAAAAGTTAGCAATTATTAGGCAGTCAGCATACACGTACAACATACATACGTACATATGTACATACATTTGCGGGCATACGCAACATGCATTGATAATTAGTGAAGATATATCAAAGGAAAAACTTGTTTTCGTTACATTAAAATTAATCCGACTTTCTGATATAATGGTTAAAAGTAACCAGAATGCCCGAATTATTAGCTAAGGCTTTTACTTACACACGAAACCAACGTATTTTAATAAAATACCAATACCAAGAAACCACTTTAGTGTGACCGATTGCCAAACCTACCAAGAAACCCGAATTTCCATTCAAACAAATATTAAACTGCCTGAACACCAATAACATAAGCCTACAACAGATTGTATCTTTTAAATAAAATTAACGAATCCAAGAATTCTTTTGAACGAAAATGGAGAATATGTTTGTATGACTGTTTACTCTCGAACCCTGATATTATTTTATTAATGAGAGCCGCATCAATGGTATTCCAAACAGCGACAGAAAATTTGGAACCAGTACTCAGATGCGCTCAATTTTAAAAGATTAATATATTTTAACTAGGGGACTCGCTTTGCTCGTTTGCCAACCCTCATTTTTGTAATGCCTTTAGAAAAATCCGTGATTCGTAGGGAAAGATACGAAATTTTGTCGCGCACAATCTACTTTCTAGCGGCTGCACGCCAGGCAACTACTTTCTAGTTTGTGCGCGACAACATTTCTTATCGTTCCATTTTTTTTCGATCCGAGTACTGTTGGTAGCAGCTCGACAAATATAGATCTAGGGGGTACCCATGAAGAAACCATAAAACAACTATATAAGAAGGTCTCGTTGGAAAAACTTATGGAATAGTGCGAGTGAAAAGTGCGAGTGAAAGGGCTCTCGCTGTAAGTGTGAGGGCAACGACAATGGAGTGTGCTGATTAATCATTTGAAGGCAATGTGAAAAAACATAATAATTGTTTCATAATTTCATTTTTAATAGTTTTCTTCATAATAGTGGTCTGTGTTCTGAAAAAACAAACATTTTGAAAAAATTTCAAAAAAAAATTCGTCAGCAACCAACCTTCCGCGTCGACAAGCAAACGAGCACTGAAAATTAGGAAAGCAACGAGTAACTCTGCCACCGACGAGCCCTCCTTATAGTTACTTCATGCCAATTTTGAATATGAAGGGTGCTTGGAGGCGCCGTTTATTCTTTGGCACGGCCTTGCTGCTCCACCAATCAAAGAAGGCTGCAGATGTTATTCCCAGACATACCCAAATTCTCTGCGGAATATGAAAAGGGTATCGTCCTGGTTTCTTTCCTTCAGATATCGGTTTAATCAAAGTTGTCGGCGCTTGTTTTGTTGATTGTCCTCCTCCTCCGATCATGCAAAGAGCCGCCAATCCCAGTAAAAGCAATCTCCTGCATGGATCGATGTCACATTTATTGTTTTATTAACCTTTTATTCAATTTTTACACATTTTCAAAATGGTAAACAAAGGCAAATGGCTTCCTGAGAAGTGTAACCGTACGGAATGCGGTTTTCACCTCTGGTCACACTCTGCTGTTGGCAAAATATATTGCCAGCAAACCTGCTAATAACATAAAATACTATCGGCTGATTTTCTAGGATTCAACGTCAAGTTATTTTTATACCCGGTACTCGAAGAGTAAATAAGCTATATTATAATTTTGAGAGAAATTGGATGTTTGTAACGCACAGAAGGAAACGTTTCCGACCCCATAAAGTATATTTATTCTTGATCATCATCAATAGCTGAGTCGATATAAAAATGTCTGTCTGTCCGTCCGTTTTGTATGTACGCTGGTTCTCAGAGACTATAAAAGCTGGAGTTTTTAACAGACTGCTGTTATATAAAAGTAAAATTTGCTTTAAAATGGGAAAAGTGTAAAAATTAAAATTCGAATTAACCACTTAGGTACAGATATACTGGAGAGTACCGGGTATAACATTTGTGACGTCTCACACTTTTTTTTTATACCCGGTACTCGAAGAGCAAATAGGGTATATTGTATTTGTGGGGAATAACGGTTGTATGTAACGCACAGAAGGAAACGTTTCCGACCCCATAAAGTATATATATTCTTGATCAGCATCAATAGACGAGTCGATAGAGCCTTGTCTGTCTGTCCGTCTGTCCGTCTATACGTCTTGTTTGTCGGCTACTTCTCAGAGACTATAAGAGCTAGAGCCACCAAATTTTGCTCACACTGAAACCAGTGTATTTAAAAAATGAGCCACGCCCCCTTCCGCCCCCGCAAAAGGGCGAAAACCTCCCAAATCTACAGTTTTGAAGATAAAAGAAAACTAAAAACGCCATTCCGTAGAGAATGGTCATATCTATCAGATCACCATATTGGGATCCGATTGGATCATTATTATAGCCAGAATGAAGAAATTACTTTGCAGTGGCTAAACCCACCCTGTCCCGCAGCTTTTGTTGTTCTTGCACATTCTCTCATTCACACTCTGCTTCTGCTTCACTCGGCTTTTGCCCCTGCCTGTACGCCTTTTAACCCACCCCGTCCCGCAGCTTATATTTGTTTTTTTTTTGTGCGGACGCTGCCTCTACCTCTGCCGCGAGTCAGCAGTATGTGGGTCTAGGGAAGGGTGGCGAGCGTGTTGGTGTGAGAAGTGTTGTAGATGTAGATGAGAGATGAAGAAAAAATTTAAAATTTGACAAAACACCGCTGAGGTGAAGATTCACTATTGTCCCAATGACCAGTTTTGGTGGCTGTGGTGGCGCCAATTAGCCAAATTATGGCCCGGTGCAATTAGTATTTTGTATAAGTAAAATGAATTTGTAGCATTAAGCTATCGAATTGTTGCATTTACGACATACTGACAGAAGCTTGTTGCTATAGAACATACATGTGATATGTGAATACGATAGAGAAAGAGGAAGAACATGCATATAATAGGTGAATATCGAAATTGAAAAGAAGAGATTAAATTGATTTGAATTCCGACTCGGTCGAACCAGCAGCACTTGGCTTTTTATTTCGAGATTTTGATTCCGAACTGGTTGCGAGGAGTTGCGGAAACAGTGGCCAAAAGCTAATTTTTAAAGGTTAAAACCAAGACTCGGTTTTTAACGCTCTGTATTAGAAAAAGAGTGACCATCAAAGTTGCGTACAAGAAATGTTTATAGATGGCGCCACTTTCGAAAAATCTGCTGTGAAACCTAGCGGTCATTATTGAACAGAATGTGCAGGGAAAAAGTACCAATTTTATTGCTGTTTTAAATATCTCATAAATTGGAAAATACGATTAACTGATCCAATTTTTTTTATGCATTTTATTTAGTAGGATTTTTAACAAGTTGTTCAAGTTTTACTCCTGAGTGCCGGGTATAAACGTTGTGACGCGCAAGAAGCGTCTCACACGTCCCTTCTCGTTTTTTTTGTGTGCGGACGGTGATCTGCCTCTGCCTCGAGTCTTCAGTGTGTGGGTCTAGGGAAGGGCGGCGAGCTAAAGGAGCGTGTTGGTGTGAGAAGTGTTGTAGATGAAGAAAAAATTTAAAATTTGACAAAACACCGCTAATGTGCAAATGTAGTACTGAGTGCCGGGTATAAAAGTTGTGACGCGTAAAAAGCGTCTCACACGTCCCTTCTCGTTTCGTTTATTTTTGGCGTTGACATCGACCGATGGGCCACAATGAATCTACTCCCGCAGCTGCATGGGCAGTCCTGGGAAGGCGCCATGGGTGAGGGCCTTTTTATGAACCTGTGCCCCCATCCTTGGAGAAACGCTGGTTTTCCAAAGAGCGTCGCGATGATTTGGGAAAGTCGACAAAGGTCGAGCAATCTGTTTAAATATATGAATTTATCATTGTGTTAATTCTTTACTCGTACATCCAGTGACACGAAATTAACGAATCAATTTATTAAATTACGCAAGATACGCCAAAAATTTATTCCGATGCTTAGTCGTTAATACTTCTTTTATTGCAATAGAAAAAAATAAGTATTCACATGGACTTTTTGTGCATGTGAAGTATCTTTAACAAATACTTCAGAATTACCAATTTATATTTATACAGGTACTTATTTACATAAATAGGAATGTGCGTGTGAGTGTATTTTTAATGTACAGATGATTATGAAGCCTTTAACAGTTGTTAGTAGATGGGTATTTATATCAGTAGATTTCTCGAATTTTAATATCTATATGTATTAAATATATGTATATGGGTAATGTGCCTTACTGTCGTTCTACACCTTCTTCCCCCCAAACAACTCCAGTAAAACTTTTTTATACCAACACATTAACTCATCAACGTAGTTGGCATATGGATATGTGTTGCTGTGGGTGTTGGAACGACAATGAATACATATTATATACATATAATGTACGTGTATGTATGTGGCGTGTATGCCAAGCTGGCTTTTTAGGTTTTGAACATATTTTCACCCCAGAAATGTTGAGTACATTTTGTATGCTTGCAGAGTAAATAAAAGTAGAAATATAAATGTTCTTGTATTCTCGTTCTATTTCCATTTCGTGTATATATGCCATTTTTGTGAATTCGATAGATCGAATATTTTAATATCAAAGCGTTTGGAGAAATATATATATTTGCATTGTATTGTATTGTACTTGCATATGTTGTGTGTTGGTTATATTATCGATTGGTAGCTATTCTGTATATGAAGTTTTAAGAAATTATATGAAACTTTGTATATTATGGAAATTATTATTATAGGTGTATTTATTAAGATGATTCTTAGCACGTCTGGGCAGGGACCTTAAGTGCCCATTGTTGGTTCCTGACGTATTTCTGATTTCAGCTTAACAAATTCCTTGGCGACTTCATCATTATTACGCTGGGATAGAATCCGCAAAATGGTCCAACCAGTCTCGTCCATTTCTATGCGTCTCTGCAAAGGCAACCAACAGGCGACAGATCCCTAAAAAAGAGTCACAGAAAAGATATTTAATACAATATATGTATGTATATTATGGTGAAATATGAAAACCTTTTCCGATATGTCTTTGAGCGGAATAACTGCCACACCGACAAGTCGATCATCACGGGCAAAACAATAGTCCTTAACGCAAATATGCAACTCGAAAAAGTCCAACTGCTCCTCGTTACCAATAGCGCTAATGTTAGGGAACAGTTATAGAAAAATTGGTCAGATTGATTTAAAAGCGCTTACAAGCTAAATGATTCATTGTATTTGGGAGACCAATTGTTCGACTTTGACTTGGTTGCAAACTTTCTCTTTTTTTCCTGGAGATGCGGTCCAATCAAGTTAATCTCAACAAATGGTCGGAACATGCCGGATGGTATTTGCCATTTTAAATCATTAGCAGCCACAACTATGCAAAAAAGTTCAAAAATAATTGTGTTAGAAACGTTTTAATATAGAATCTTACAGAGCGTTTGGAATTTACCTTTCACATTCACCTTGTGTTCACCTGTTCCTGGGTGGGAAAATAGGTCTATTTGCACTGAAATTTCGCCGACACTTTCCTCTGCATTTTCAGGATCAACTACAAAATGAAATTTATAATATGTTGTATGTATGTATATCTACATGTAGTGTGTGCAAATCAGATACATCCAAAATTTTGAAGATAGGAGAAAACTAAAAATGGCCAAGTCTATCAGATCACTGAATTAGGATTAGATTATATCATAATTATAGCCAGAATTAAGAAACTAATTTGCAGTCTGTAGCTTTTAATGTCTCTGAGATCCAGGCGCTCAATAAGACGGACGGACAGACAGACATGTCTCTATCGACTCGGCTATTGATGCTGATCGAGAATATATATATATATATATACTTTATGGGGTCGGAAACGTTTCCTTCTGTGCGTTACATATATCCGTTATTCCCCACAAATAAAATATAGCCTATTTACTCTTCGAAAAATCGTTATACTAGATTTTGGAACTTGCAAAGAAAACTTGATGCTTTCTTTCGGTGACATAAAAGATGTTTCTCAGCAAAAATCTCTTTTGAGTATCTTAATTATTAGAAATACCGGCAATAGTAAAGATAACTCACCTTCGTGAACTTGACTGGATATAAAGGTTTTGATCAGTGTGTCTGTCATTTGCGTATACAAACTGAGTGCGTAACGTAGACTTTGAAGCTCTGAAGACTTCTCAAGAAACGTCTTCTTCAGTCCATTGCCACCGGCGTGGAAATATTGTTTTATTGTATCTAAGGCAACATCGAGTACAGCACATTGTTTGGGCGATAAATTTTTTTCTACTTCCTTTGATATGTCCATGACACCGCTAAGCGCACTTTTAACATCCTGTTTTCCAGCCATATGAGACTTAAACAAACGACCCATGTCTTCTATTTTTGCGTTGGATGCAAGGTTTTTTGCATTATCAGTAAGATGTTTAAACATCATCTAATTAGAAACAAACTTTTATAGTAGATTAACTAGAATGAACAGCAAGCCCTGCTTACAGTTTTATCAGTCATTGGTGGCAAAACAATAGTTTTTTCCAATATTCGCATTACGATCTTCCAGAGTTCTTTTAACAGTCGCTTTAGTACCGTCTTTTCACAAGACTGCGCATATAGTGTCAATGAACCATCGAGCAAGTCCATAAGCGGCCTCAGAACTTCATCGGCCTCAACGGCGACGGCATTTCTCTGTGCAGCTTGGTTACCAGCTGTCAGATTTCCACAGCCGCCTCCTTTAATAGACAGCAACATGTCACCTAGCTCACGCACCGACTGAGTTATTCGAGGCTCCAAACTGAGGGAGGGCCAATTGGGACAAATGTACAAACCATAATGTACCTATATAAAGATCGCATCACTTACCTAATGGCAAACTGAGTGGCCAAATCATCCAGTGCTGAGTTAAGATTCTGTTGTAGCTCTTTTAGTATATTGGCTGCGTCCTCTTCCAGCTTATCCCCACCCATGGACTCAAACATTTTCTCCAACTGTACCCTTAATTGCTGTATGTTGTTCATAAGTATGCAAGCCTAAATATAATGTAAAATATGGGAATGAGGAGGAGACGAAGACAGGCAAACGGGCGAATAAAGACGAATCAAGAGTTATTTTATTAAAAATCCCAATCTAATGAGTTTCCTGACTTAAAGAAGCTCGTTAGATCGTAAATTTTTAGTACTCACGATTCTTTCATCCCTCATATGCTCTGGAAACTCAAATTTCACAATATCTGCATAGGCTATCAGCACTTTTACGATTGTTTTAGCAAAACGCCTCATGTAACGTTTCCAAATTTCTGGATCAGGACACTCGAGCTTGCTAACAACATCGAAACATTGCGTCAATTGCGTGAAAACGTCGACTACCGAATTCGAAAACAAAGCGTGCTCGCTGCTTTTTGTGAACTGTACCATTGGGGCGCAATGAAAATAGTGGGTGATTTCGATTAAATTAATAATGAATGGCATTTATTTATGTGTTAATTATAAGCTTCGGCACGCCGAGGTGTACCTAACCATTTGAGTTAAGGACCCAAGTGTATAGATCGGTGAGTCTTCTTTCTGGGCGCTGTACACATCTAAAAAGCATAACATCCTCAGTATCCTCTAAATGATTGAATATGTATTTTTCGTCGCTCATTCATTTTAATTCGCATGCTCGATTTTATAGAGTCGGTGTATAGATCGGTGAGTCTACCTTCTATGCGCTGTACACATCTCAAAATAATTACATCCGCTGAATCCTAGGAATGATTGAAGATGTCTTTTTTGTCGCTAATTCATTTTAATTCGCATGCATTGCATGCCCCACTGTTATGGTCGGTGACTTCACTAATAGAACTCCACAAAGGTACTTAACAGTCGCCTAAGAACTGGTCAGGTATAAGCAGACGAACGATGATGATACATCATTTAAATGAAATTAAAAAAATTAAAGTACCTTCCGCAAGGGTTCGAGTACATATATATAAACCTAAATATTTTAATTTTAACTCGAGAGGTTTCATAAAATATATAAGTACTTAAAGCTTGCTTATTGCCAAATTTAGCCTGAGTATGCTTACCCCGTCCTTTTTATCCCGATTAAAAGCTCCATGAAGGTATTCCAATGAAACATCATCGTTCTCATTTAACCACTGCATCACAAAAGGCTCGAACCATGCTGGATAGTCGGGCACAGCTCCTTTGTAGGGTGGAACCTCTTTGACATAGTTGCTATACAGCCATTTAACGCGAAAATGAAGATTCATGTACGCCGAAGACTTACAGAGACGATGTTGCTCGTGTTCCTCCAATGCGTATTTCATGTCCACAGCGAATAAATGCCACATTGATGAAGCAGACAACTGAAAATTGTTTTTTAATTTAAAAGGACACCGATATAATTTATTTTATGATTTATATGCATAATCGTACATGTACATATGTATATATATTTATTGGTTAGTTATGTAGCGCATGCACTGCTAATCTTACTTGTCCAATGTTAAGTTCTTGGGGAAATTGATTAAGCACAGTTCCATAGCTGTTTTTGTCCTCATCGATGACCGATACAATAAGTGCAATTAGCTTGTGCCAGAAGTCGACGCTATCCAGTTTTGGCTCATGGTCGTCTGGAGCACGCTTTGCTTCGTTTGGATCCACCTGAAAAAAAAACGAGAAGAGACGTGTGAGACGCTTCTTACGCGTCACAACTTTTATACCCGGTACTCAGTACTACATCTCTACCTTAGCGGTTATGTCAAAATTTACAGTTTTTCTTCATCTGTCATCTACATCTACAGCATTTCTCACGCCAACACACTTTTTTAGCTCGCCACCCTCCCCTAGAGTCGCACACGGCAGAGGCAGAGACGCGGCAGAGGCCGAGGCAGTGGTACGGCAGACAGAGGCCGCACACTGCAGAATCAGAGTGTGAATGATAGAATGTGCAAAAAACAAATATAAGCTGCGGGACGGGGTGGGTTTAGCCACTGCAAATTAATTTTTTTATTTTAACTCTCTCTCAGACTTTTAATAGCGTAAGCATACAGAAGTCTAGATGCAAAACTTGGCTATATCTTATGGTCTCTGATTACTAGGCGCTCATAAGGACAGACAGACAGACATGGCTATATGGACTCGGCTATTGATGCCGATCAACTAAAAATTATTTATATGGTCGGAAACGTTTCCTTCTGTGCGTTACATACGTACATACCCTTTTATTCACAAATATAATATACCCTACTTGCTCTTCGAGTACCGGGTATAAAAATCAACACAAGTCAACTGAAACTTACCTGGAACTCTCTGTTGTAAAGTTCATAGCAGTTTTCGAAGAGGAATTGATACGTGGATCTTAGACAAGCCTTCACACAATCTTTGACAACAGTACTCGCTCTCGGTGGGCTGGATAACTCTTGTACCTTGGTAATTGCATTCTTAATTTGATATCGAATTAGAATTAAAACACATACCTTCATACGGAAAAATGTTATGCTGGTCAATAGATCCACAGTAGACTTAAGGTCCATTAACTTTTCAGGACTCGAGGCAGGAAAGTTATTTCTGTACATCGACAGGTCAATTCTGAGAGAATTATGTAGTTGGTCAAGCAATTTGACAAATTTCTCTTTCTGAAACGATAATCTTGCTTTGATATGTGCACTTAATGTATATATATATTTTTAAGTACCCCAAAATTACTAGCTGCAAACCGATCACTGGCTGACACAGCAGAAGAAGCCGTGGTATGAGCATAGTACGCATTGATGTTGGCCAAAAGTGTGCTCATCACAGCGGGCACACCAGGGCATAGATACTTGGCAGAAAGGCAATGAAAATGAGTCATTCCTTGATATATATTTTCGATCCCGTAGCGCATGGAAAACTCGTCGACAATTTCCTCGGGGATCTCGTCAAAATAGAGTTTCCATGCATCATCACCTTTTTGCGTTGGCAATTTAACCTACATATTTACATAAAACGAATAAATTAATATACATAAATATATAGACAATCCTTCTATGTTCTATATTGGATATCGTATACTTACCATTCCGCTATTTTCTTCACACAGATAATGAAACAGGTTCTCGTGCAGACAGGTGTATTGGACATGGTATGGAGCAACCTTTTCTTCACCCTTTATTTCAACGGATATGTGTAGTCTTATTGCACCTGAAACAGCTGATTTATCCGTTCGCTTCTCTAAATTATACCAAACATCCATTTCCCCGGAAAGCGTACGAACTTCAATTATTGTTTGTCCCAAAAAATCGTCCGATTCTCGAGTCAATTTTTGACGTAGTTTCGATTTAAGGTCATTGTCTTCATCCCAAACGCGAACTTTTATTCGGTCAGAGGAGTTATGGCACTCGCTGCATATCCATCAAATCATCAATTTTGACATCATCAACATAATAAAAATCAATAATATTATTCTACGATCGAAAAGAATTAGACATGCACATGTACGAGTATTTCTGTACATTTGCAGTTGAAATTAAAGTATCATTGAGCTGAAACACTAACACCAATATCGAAACCTAACAAACCATTTTAATTGAATAGAAAGGGTGTGGGTGGTGGTGGTGGTGGTGGGGGGGGGGGGGGGGGGGGGGGGGGGGGGGTGTTAGGTCCAAAGTTGCCTAAAGAATAAATCCCGTACATGAGTTTAGTTTAGGTCACTATTATTGATTTTGATTTATTTTTCATCTCAGTATTTAGTGTTTCAGCTCGGTGCATTGCTTTACTTTTAAGTGCATACAATAGCTTATCAAAAGGAAAGAAACAATTTTTCTGTTAATGGAAAGACTACATTCAAACATTTATTTGAAGAGAAGTAGTGAGGACGAAAGAGATAACCATTCTGCAGTGACACATAAATAATTATTTATTAATAATTAATTAATTAATAATTATTATAATAAATAAGTATATTTTGACATATACAAATCTTATGCAGACATTTTCTTCATATAAACATATAAACAGAATGTCTGCGAAAAAGTGAAAAGGGTTTTACGCATGATAGAGCTAAATGTTCTAAAATTTGTAAACAACATTTTTTTAAATTTATTAATATCAGCATCACCGTTTGGCATTTAAGGAATAAGTCTGTTATATTTTCGACTTTATTGGGTCTAGACAGACTACTAGAAAACTGAAAGAATTATAGATAGAGCATAAAGTCAAGCAAGCTGGGGTGTGCGTTTATTGTGTACTTGGTTCAATAAGTCCCCAAACTAAATTTCAAATCAGTTAGGAGGTCAAAATTTGCATAAGTTGTAGCAAAAAAGATTCTTGTTTTATAGACTCTTGTCCAAATAAATAAACAAAACAGTGTAAAATCACAAGTCTGAATATAAAATCTAATTGTCTCTGAAAACTAGTTTCTCATGGGAATGGATGGTCGGACAGACGGACGAGCAGACAGGCATGGCTATATCGACTCGGCTATTGATGGTGATCAACAATATAAGAATGTATATGTACATGCATATGTACAATTTATGGGGTTTAAAACGTTTTCTTCTGTGCGTTGCACACAACCACTTTGATATATAAGAAACATATTTTTACATATAAGAAAACAAAAATTGTTTCAGTTTTAACTCGGAGACTTCTTGAACCATGGGTCACTTATTGAAGAGTATACATATTGGATCGGTAAACACGTGTGTCAAAAAAATTCGATTTTGCAATAAGGTAAAGGAATCTTGGGGACAATTACTCACAAGTGAAACTTCTCGTTCCACACAGGGTTAAGTTCCTGCGGCATTGTTCGCGTTCGTTTTTTCACCTTGCTAACCTGCACCGTCACATATGGATCACTGGTACCGCTTTTATCCTTCGCTATCAGGCCTTGAGCACAAATCACTGCATCATATCAGGTCAAATAGTAATATACATATATGGCAATTCGTTCGTTTCCAACAAATTTCGCATAATTTCGGGTGTTTGTTAATTTTGGACCGATTTTTGACCGATTTGATCATTATAATGTTCCAGGTAATATGTAGAAAATTGATGTATTGATGGGTTGATGGATTGTAATATCGATTTTTTGTTAATTTTTTGTTTGATTGCGAAATTTTCGATGATGTTGAGATTTTTATTTGATTTTTTTTTTAATAATTTGTTGGGATTTGAAACGAAGAAAATCGTTTTAAGATTTGTGCATTTGAAAATTTAATTCCAATTTTTTCAGTGTTCAGTATTGATTTTCAAGGGAGAAAGAAGAAGAGAAAAAAACGGAAGTTTTTAAATACATATACGATTTTATAAAATCATATCAGCAGTAAGAATGCCGTGCTGCTGACTCCACTGTATTTTTATATGTACATATATGCATGTACATACATTAAGTTCCATCAGTTAATATAAGTATATACAAATATGTACATAAGGTAGCTAGTCAGTAAGATGCAAGTGACAACGGTATGGTGTTTGTGGAATATACTGATCACAATAAAAAGATTAGTTTTTTACATTAGTACCATACATATGTATGTATATAAAGTTAAATATAAAGTTTAAAAAATGTGAATAGTATACATATGTAGATAAGAAAGTGTTTGTCATCAATTACGTACATATGTATATACACACACACATATTTGTATACATACATACATACTTAAACATATGTATATATGTCGGCAAAGGGAAAGACCAAGTGAACTTCCACATTATGCAAGTTTATATTTACTTATAAACACATATGTAAAACATAAATACATATGTACATACTCGTAACAATGTTTACTGTGCAGGGATCAGGCAGGATAAGTAATATTATACAAAACTTAAAAAACTAAGCCCGTTTTTATTAACACGTCCGTTATTCGTTTTGGTTTAAAATGAACAATTTTGAATTAATAATTATCCCGTGAAAGCCAAGCCTGTGCATTTAATAAATGATGTTTATTATTTATTATTTTGTAGTCTCTTAGCTTATAGTTGTAGCTATCTAAAACAGGACTCAGCACGCGCCGATTTTCGTTTGTGCATAGGTCTGAATCACTGAAAGTGTGCAGCGGCAGGGCCTTTTGCTATGCTCGATAGACAGGGGTTGACCTAAAGCCCCGACCTAAAAGTCTCAATCAAGTGGAAAAAATGTGAGTATTGAAATTGAATCATTTGTTTTATGGTTATACAAATATGTTCTTTTGTTGGTCTTGTTTCCCTGTACAAATAATGCTAAAAAGAATGGCAGAGTTAAATAGATTACTAGTATATTAAATACGACAAGCGAAATCTTTTTTGTGGTACCTCCTTTAGACAATAAGTTTTCGAGCCCTGTTGAAAGTAAACACATTTTATATTTTTGGGTTGTCAAACGTCAAGATACTTGCATACATATGTAAATATGTACATTTACATACATTAAAATTAATCCCCAGACCACCCAGCCATACATGTATACTTTTAGAAGAGTATTCATGCAAATACTTCAAACTATCCGAACAAAGCCTTGCTTATTGCAGGCCTCTAATAGCTTTGTAATCAATTCAATTTTTAAACGGAAGTACTTGGAAGAATAAAAAAAACATGCACCGTGCTCTTAGATATGTACTATTATATGTGAGTAGGATACAATTTTGGGATTTGATTTTGGCTGTGATTTACTATGGCCAAGTTTATCTATCTATGAACATATGTTTAAATGTTCTTCGACTACAAGTAGTCTCAGTTTGGAAGCTTTAGATCTGATATGTTAGATGGACAGGGACAACGGGTACAGAGAAAAATTCATTTGTTTTTTTGTTTTGTACTAAAATCTATATAAATGTATTCTAGTGATATTCTCATTATGGCTTTAATCAATTTCATGAGCTTATCACCGTTGAATCGACAAATTTTCCATAGGTTATTTTTTTGCAATTCGGCCTGTTGTTTGCTCTTAGGTCAAAGCGAACACAAAACAAAAAACAATTGATCCAAGTGGAAACACACATAAAATGTATTTGAACGACTGAGTATACAGTTGTTAAGACTTTTGTTAATATTGTTATCATAAAGATGATTATTAATAATAACACATAAGATCCATGCATGAACCAGAGCTTCAAGGAAAAAAAATACTCATGAGCACGGATACCCCTATTAAGACTCTTCTTTTCGTAACTATGTAAGAAACATCTGAAAAGGATACTTAGCAACCGTCTAGATAGGAGTAATATATGTGAGAGCCATCGATGGTTAATCGGCGGCGCAAGATAGTTAGGCATTGCGAATGGTGCAAGAGATTTATTTAAATATTTACATTTTGTATACACATTAATGTGTAAAATTAGTGATGAATGTATGCATGTATGTAATTTTTTGTGATTAAATTTTAATGAGGGGTTTAAATTAATATCAGATTTACTAATCGTAAAAATCGTAAAAAGTAAAAATGACTTCATTCGTATTAATTGGAGGGTCGACTTGAAAGGGTTTTACAACTTTGATATGACAAAGATAGCTTTGCTTTATCGTTAATACGGATACGTATTATCATTTGACGTCTTAATTTCACATGTATAAAAATGTAATAATATTGTATTTAAAAAGACCTCAAACAATCGTTAAAAAACGAGTAGTAAGGGAAAAAAAAAAATTTTGCTGCACAACAATATCAGCAAGAACTTGTAAAATAAAGTACGAATACGAGTATGATTACTCATATGAATGTAGGAACAAAATAATTAAAAAGAACTTAAACTGTTATTTAATTTAAACTTTCATCAGGCTGCTATGGGAACGACTGGTCGATTACAAAAAAGGCCTCAGGCATAATGATTAAAGACGAACAGCTACACTAAATTATATTAATTCAGTGTCAAAGCACTTTTTTATGGAGTATGAAAAAAAAAAAATATTACTTAATAGAAACCATAAATTGTTGTTTAAAAGGGAAGTGGCTTTAAAAGTGTACCTGTAATTGTTAGTTTGCATGACCATTTAGATGTTCCCTCAACAGTTGCGTGCTCAGCCTGTTCTAATGAATCTATGTGTGTATCAGGATCCACACCGAATGTCATCCTTAAATTAAAATCGATTACATATGTATGATTCGTTAATTTGAAGACTCTATTTAAGAAGGTTTAAAATATCAACACATTAAGTGAGTTATCGGATTGACTATGGCTAGGCGGGCCATCGCACTCGTAATGATGATTTATTTACCTATGTACATATCTAACGTTTTTCCTTGTTCAGTTTCTTTGGTTACCCAATAAACATTATCAAATTAGATCTCATTTAAAGCTATAGTTTGCCTTTATGGTGCTCACTCTGCTCCCAATAGTCCTCTAGGTCGGTTTTAGCAACATGTATATCCCGTCGCCGTTTGAGTGGGAGGATTAAGGATCTTTTGTTTTTAACATTAAGCCGTTTGAAAGGCCCAAATGTATTCTACTATACATTAAATAGTAAGTCAGCCATAAATTTATTAGCTGATCTGATGTGAAAACAACATCCTCTTTAGATACGGATTGCACATGTATGTACGTACACGACGTGGGTGTTAGCACAGGCAGAAAAGGAAATTGTAATCTTCATATAGGTCAGATATACATACTTATATTGTAACATAAATATATGCTTTTTTAATACATGTTACTCAAGTTTATATATATATATATATCCAAATACATCGATTTAGTATAAATGGTCTATACAAATGTGTATATTTATATTGCGTACATGCATGTTACACATATTGGCACATACATCAAAAACACAGTTAAATACAATCACACGTATATAATTAGTATAAAATAATACGAGTAGTAACACAGCTGTGTCATTCGAATGCAAAATGCGACTGCAAATAAACTCACATACATTCAAAGTTAATTTGAAACAGAAAAGGAAGACGCTTATCAGCTTATGTAGTTTTTGTAGAATCTATCTCAAACCTGTGATTGCTATTTTGGCCGACCATTTGCTTGTGCCATCCAGGACGCTCTGTTTCACAGCCTTCATATGACCGGTGTGACTTTTCTCCTCAACGCTGAATACGGCTCTAGTGGATGAATGCCAGGGTAGTGTTTACTATATTTCATTTTGTTTCTTTTAAATTGTTGCTTTCCGTTTACAAATAATTTTGCGCTTCGGCTTATTTCCATTCCATATACACACACATACTAAATGTATATATATATGTATATACACAGTTTAAGTATGTAAATGTAGTTCTACCCCCATTCAAGCTAAAACAAGTCTTGCGAGTCTTGGAGATAAACTCGACAATTGTGTGTACGGTACGATCCGGTCCGGCCCAGTTCGTGTCGCAACTGCACATATCCGCCCTAGTCAAAACCATTTTGTAGATATAACCTTACCTAATCAACTCAAAAATTTCGGGCTTCTCTCGCTCGCGCTGCTTCATTCGCTCTTTCATAGCGGTAATTATGGAATTAGCTTTGTCTTCGGCACCGTGTTTCGAACTCTTCTCGGCAGCACCTGTGAGCAATTTAACATATAATTTACTCGCCTAGAAGGGTTTTACTCGAAATACTTACGCTGAAGACAATCGGCGTTTAGCAGATCCTTGCATTTTTCATGGCACTTCACTCCGCATTCTGTGCATCGCACTCCCTGACGCGCTATTCCCCAAAGTAGGCCTTCACACTCGTAGCAATATGTTGGTGACGTTGCCGTCCAGAGCAAAAAGTTATGCGGCGTTGTAGATGATATGGGATAGATCAGAGCCTGAAGTGCTTTTTTGTACACGTGCATTTTCTGTATCGGGATTGAGAAAAGCTCAGATTAAAATGTTTAAAACTGTAGCAATAACATCGCAGTTTTGTGGCTGTCCACTTACAAGCTCTTCATCATTAAGCGTTGCCCGGGGAACAGCTGATGTGAGTCCGGCATTTCGTTTTGTGGCGGCCATAGTCTGCAGTCAGTCAAACATAAATTAGGCTTTGTATAAGTACACTTTATAGTTTCATATATGCATCAAGCAGAAAAAAACTTTTGGATGTGTTGCGTGTTGATGTCATAAAATTCAAATCAAAGTTATCTATGCTACTTCAGCCTTTATCTACTGAATATTCTTAGGTAAGTATAAGTGAATGTGTGTGTATATTTAATTATAAGATCCAAGAAGATAACGAAGCGCCAACAGGCAGAATGCAAATTCAAATTCAAATAAAAATCAAAGAAATACTCATTTAAGTTATCAATTAGGGTGCACAAAACATGATGTTCACTATTTTTAATTTATTCGTATGCTTATGATTGTTGATATATTACGATAACTAACTATATATGTATATCGATTCGAATTTACAAATATTTCAAGACTGAATTGATTCATTTTTTTTTTCTGTTTTTCTTAATGCGGACTTTGCGTTTTGCATGTGCGTATGTTAGTGTTCTACCAACCGTGTTCGGTGTATATTTATGCAAATTCAGTAGAGTACATGGCTCCTTTATCGTGTGAGTGTGATGTTGCTGATAACAGTTGGTCAGAAGAATCAGAAATCATTTATATTGAACGTAACTGCAAGTTTCACTCATGCTCATACAGTAGAAGACTAGAGTCCAAATACAAAACCCAGAATAGCAATTTTCAGATTCCATAAAAAGTTAGAATAGTATAATCTCACCCAATTCAATCTATAGTATTTTACACAATACGTCGAACGACAGAAGCATTGCTTAGCGTATGGGTTAGCTTTATTAACAGCATACATAAAATGGGAATGCAAAGGCTTACACTTTTTCATAAACTGCATATAACATAACGTTGGCAATACAAAATTCTCATTTTCTATTAATATGTAGAACGGATCGGACTTGATGTACTTATACATCTGTCAATGGAACTATAAGTTGTTCAATAATTTCAAATGAAATTTAAAATTAATCTGCAATATGTAATTCACTCGGGCTTGGAAATGTACTTAAGTAAATAACAGTAATAATATGTATGTATTATGTATGTATGTTTGACAAATCTGTTTGTATCGTGCATGCGTACAATATAAATATTTTGGTACGAAATCATATTATTTGTTCGAACAAATAATTTAAATGAGCTACATTTATCTTGATAGGAACCAAACATCTTTATCGAAAGCTCGTGACGAAATTTGATCCTTATGATGAAGTATGTTAAATCGATATACACCCTTCATGAGATAATAAAAAAAAAAAATTTTATTAAAGCGTTAAAGTAACAAATTCTTGATTTTGGGCGAATTTGTATCTCAATTTTAGTTCTCTTTTATGTTCTTATCTGTGCTGTCCGGTACACACAAGGGTAATAAACTGTTGTATAGCCAATGACAGGACCTAAAGTAGATGCTAAAACCGTTCCTATTAAGTATGTCAGTAGTTTCTAAATGTCAATGACACAAAGGGGCACCAGACTTGGAATTTTGTGTTGTAGTGGAGTCATAAGAGTGGCGTAACTCGTAATCTACTGTGCATAAGTACATTAAAAAAACAACAACAAAAATACTCCACTTTGTGATTATTTAATTTGTATGTGATAATTGTAAATGCTTTTAGATTTACTAACTGCTAGTGAGAACTTGTTATAATCTAGTTTGGAACAAAATTCTGTAGTTCTGTACCTTGAGCACCTGCAGTCCATTAAATCATGGTTGAAAGGAAACAAGATTTATTTTTAAATAACAATAGTTATGTAAAGGGGCATTAACATTAATCATTAATTAAATCGTTGTTAAAAGGAAAAAAGAATTATTTAAAAAAAAACAATAGTTATGTAAAGGGGCATCCACAGAAAGGATTCGCAGAACCCTACAAATAAATCCACAAATGTTTCTAAACGTATTCATGACTTGTCGTACATATTTATTTATGTATGGGCTGGGCTAGTAATATTTAAGAAGAGCGACAAGAAAATATCAGAAAAGTAAGCTGCTACTCACCAATTCAGAAACAAGGGGTATAGACTTTCGACGGGGCCGTATATCTGGCATACTGTCGATATTGCTATAGAAAGGGTTATCGCCGGGATGGCCATTGGTCCGTATCCCAACATCTCCAGTTCCACCACCATTCTGTAAAAGATATTTTTCTTATTATTATGTTTATTAAATGTAAATTGCGTCCAGAATAGAATGCTATACATTCATGGCGTTCTTGATAATAAATTGCATACAATAAAAAATGTAACAGTTCGTTATTGAACTGTTTTAATATTTATTTACCATATATATCATTTAAAACTATTAGGAACGTTTGTGGGATGCTTCTTACGCGTTACAACTTTTATGCCCGGTACTCAGTCAGTATATCCAAAGACGATATAAGAGTTAGATGGATAACGCCATACAACTTGTTTTCAAATGCATTTTTCTGCCTGGAGTAGAACAAATGTGTGCACACGTATTCCATGCACGTATTCCACCCATGCTTCCATGTATGGGTGTTTTTGCAGTGCTGTCGAAGCATACCCTCCACCTAAGAGTCTATACACTTTAACAAAGATGTTTGCCCTCAATACTATAAACCCCTTATTTATTATATCCTTTAAATGAATGCTATTTTAGAAAGAATTATGTATTAAAGAATATATTCGATATACAAGATACATACCTACGTATGTAAATGTACATAAAATATTTCATACATGACTTCAACTGCGAGTAAATGTCAGTAGGGTATTCAGTGTGCGTTATGCCAACTAGTCAATCGGAAAGAATTTTTGAAGAAAAAATTTCATGAACACATTTTTGTCACGAATATCGTCTGCCTGGCTTGTGCGTACTCTCACATGCAAGCGCGTTATTTATAGATCAGATTTATACGCTCTCATATGTGAACAGCCGAGACAGGGGTTGTTTTTTTTGCTTTTCGGCTTTTGCTTGCAGTTTGCCAATTCAGCTTTATCCATCTTGTCTGTATATGGGACCTTATGTATATGTACCTTAGGGGTTTTTTCGAATTTTACTTCTGTTTTTTACGTTTACATCACTTCTCCCGCCAAAAAGCCCTTTTAGCTGCCACTCTCCCCTAGAGCCGAATACAGCACGAAGCAGAGTGTGGAATGATGAAGGAATTCGGTGATCTGATAGATAAAGTTCCACGAAATCGAGTTTTTAGATTTCTTTTATCTTCAAAATTGTGGCTGCGGGAGATATAAAATTCCTAAGCAAAGCTGCTGACTCCGTCCAGCACTGCAAATGAATTTCATTTTTCTGGCTATAATACATACATATGTGTATGTACATATATACAAGTGGTCCTTCCCTACGGAATCGCAGTTTCAATTTTCTCTTATCTTCAAAATTGTGGATACAAGATATTTTCGTTTTTTGTGAGGGCTGGGCGAAATTTTGAGATATACTTGTAACAGTGTGATATTACAGCAATCTCGATGCAAAATTTGTATGGCTTTTATAGCTTTTGATGCTAATCAAGAGTATACATATTTTTTGTGCGTTACATACATCCACTTTCGACCACAAATAAAATATTCCTATTTACTCTTCGAGTACCGGGTATAAAAAAATTTAAAAGGAATATTTAAATATGTATGGAATGGTTTACATTTCGATTGAAATAACATGTTCAAATGATAATTTTAAATTCACCCATTTAAAGCATTGAGATTCGAGGACATCATTTGAGATTTAACAATGTAAATATGTATATACGATTAGCTTTACCTTCTCCCTGTCTTTGGCCATTTCTTCTTCTTTAATTTTGTCCTGATTATTTTTCTCCTCGATCTTACGCTCCTTAAGAGTTTTAAGCAGCTTCCACTTACTGCTGCCAAGACCCGCCGTGGCGCCATTACTACCTACCGCCTGGGATCCCTCGACACTTGATTCTTGACTTATTGGCTTTATTGGACGCAGTTGAGATGAAAATGATCCCCGAGCACTCTGAGGAGATGATGTCTGTTTGTTGCATTGATTATTTGATTCATCTAGAACGGATGCAGACGCTGGAACGGTATTGAACGTGTCCACCGACTGTTGGTTTCCTATTGGTAAGACCCCGATATTAGAAACACCACCGCTTCTGTTTGGACACCCTCCTTCCAGGCTCAAATCTTTTTCCATATCATCACTCATCTCTGCTGGCGTATCGGGTCCTGATGTCGCGCTAGAGTCCGATGATTCTTGAAACATTTCTACGGAAATATCTTTGTCTTGTTCTGATACCGATGCTGCGTCACTGATAAAACGTTGGTTCTGCTCGTTCTCGTTTTCTGAAGCACAGGAAGAACTTGAGCTGGCAATATGATCGGCAACGATGGGCTTATTTGATTTTTGGACGCGTTTCCGCTTCCTGTATCGCTTCGATTGCTGTTTTTTTCCAGTCTCTTGAGGCAATATTGCCAGTACGCCTTCCCCTTCCCGAGCAGCCACCTCAGTTTCATCATGAGATTCCACATCAGATATTTCCTGCTGAAAATCGCCATTGACATCCTGCCATGCGCTATGCATGTCACAGACAATTTCAAACCTGTCCCGTGATGGTTTTGACCTTGTTAATGCTTCCACTGTGTCGGCTGTAGTAATCAAGCTACTGCCATAAATTATTTCTGGTTCTAGTTTAACTGCGTACTTGAGCTCATTCAATACTTTGGACATCTGCAGCTTTACACTTTCATCCGGTGAATAAACATGGGCCTCCTCCAATTCTGCAAAGCCAACGTTTTCTCCGGGAGCATCGGTATGCAACAGCTGTCCAATCTGCGAGAACAACACTTGATTGTCCGCACTTTGTTCGCTAGTTATGTTGTCAGCATGCGATGTTCGTTGATGCTCCAGTTCCTCGAGCTGGCGAAGCTCATAGCAAAAGTATTCATCATCTGTGTCGATGCTATCTTCGGTGCTTTGGCGACGAGAAGACGAGAGTGTGCGACCGGAATGCTGACTACGACAGTCGTCATCCTCCCTTGATCCATATCCTAGATTACTTGGAATGTCCAAGGATTGCTGTGCAACCCATATTCCCGCAACTCGGCTGTTTGTCACCGTAGTGGAAGTAGTTTTGGTTGGTGTGTGCTCTTTAGAATCTAGTGTAGGTGTAGCTGCGAGGGTTCCCGACATTTTCGGTGTTGGGACATTGGATTCAGTGTTATTCGACATCTCGATAAAGAGAGAAGAAACGTCGTAGCTCTTATCATCAATAAAGACTGAGCTTACTTTTTGAATGTTCGCCTGTGACTGGAAATTTGCATTTACTTCTGCTGACGTGCATGTTGGAATCTCACTGGTTTCCAAGAGAATCTCAGGCATCTTTTTAAATATGTCAGCACTATTGCACATTTTGTCACGTTCTAAAAGCTCAGACGACGTGCATGGAATGAGAACAGCATCCGATGGGGTAAGCTGTAACTTTTTGAGGTCCCCAACTACAGCGAATACATTTGGACAATCAATTTCAATTGCGAGGCCACCATCATAGGCGCCAGAGTGTTGAGTCCGTTTACAAATATCAATGTCATCATCTTTATGCCATTCCCCCGTTTGATTTGTTCTCCGTTTAACGGCCCCAATGCCGGCAGATATATCTTGTTGATTTATTTGGCGCTCGTATAAAGAACAATCCTCGTTATCCGATGAAGTAAAGCCTGGAAGATCTAGTTCGGTATCGGACATATTCGAGCCGCGGCGCAGGACACTGCTGTTCCGTTTATAGGTCTTTGCTTTTTGCATTAAATGGTTCATCTTAGATGAAAATGAGCGCTTCTTCGGTGGTCCAGTATCAGTACTAACGTGAGCTGCACCTCCAGCTGAGTCGGAGTCTGACAGACGTCGTACAGAGTGCGGAGCCGCAGCTTTTTGTATGAGACGCATTGGTAGCTTCTGTAAACGTTTGGATAGCTGTCCGGGGCTTCCGTTTCCGTTAGGGCGCTTATACGAAATTAACGGATACGAGCCTGCCTGGCCACGAGCTTGTCTTTGATTTCCTTGACTTTGAACATCACCGGGTAATGACTGTGATCGATTGTACTTAGCTGAGCGATTTAACTTTAGATTTTCTGGCAATAAAGTGCTCAATTTGTTCCATACCTTCGGTGACTTTGTGGTGGTAGGTGGGACTGGGACCGACATTTCCATACACTCAAGCCTTTTTGCACCGTTAATGTGAATCTGAGCTGCAGAACCTGGATCTAAAACTGGAACTGATGAAGGTTGCAGCATGGGAATCAGGGGAAAATTTGAATTGGTAGCTCTTTTTTTAATCATATATTGTGATTGATTTTGCTGCTGATGTCCCAAGTATTCCAAATTGTTACTGCTGTTATAGTCGGTTATACTGTTTGAAGATGGATAGTACACAAGTCGATCGGTCAAATGTGGTTTGCGGCATTGTTCTTTGATTTCCACATGATCAGAATCATTTTTTTCCAAACAATACTTTGACTCATTCTCATTTAGTCCGCTGCTTATTCCGGAATGCGTTCTTGGATTCTTTCTGAGCGATGGCTTAGGCGTTGTACTCGGAGTTTGGTTAGTTAAAAGGTCCGGCATACGGTCTTTGTTAAGTAATTGTTGCGTTGTAACATCCTCCTGACCCCGTAGATTTTGTTGTTGGTCCCATTCTAACATTTCATCAACAGTGGAAAATTTACCGATTTGTTTGGCAGCCTCATTGACATCGAATATTGATTGGTTTTCATATGCAGAGCAAATTGGAATATTTTTTGAAAGCTCGTAAATATAGTTTAGGTTCTCCTCCGAAAATGTATAATCACATTGTTTTGGGCTTAGATTTTCAGCTTCAGTGCTATTAAAATTGGAATCTGAGCCTGAGGCTATTACAGGATATGCTAGCTGGAAAGTTGCCGTGCTTCTATCATTAATATTGTTAGCAAACAGATTACAGTTCTGTATGCCAACGGTTACCGGGGAATTTGGTGACCAGCCGCTCATCGAAGACAGCCCTGAATCAGATTTGGCCTGTTTCTGTTGATCGGCTTCAATTTGTCCACGAGACGAGCTTTCTGCCACCGAGGCTTCCATTCCCAGATTGTCGTTCGGCGCTGGCGGTGGAGGGCTGGGACTTGATCGAATTTGATCCATCATTAATATATCGGTAAACTCAGTTGTAACCTTATGTTTTTCTGGATTCTGCAGATGAAGTAGGAACAGCATGCTATTGTGACGTTCCAGGCTTTTCTTTAAGGACTGAATATACTCATCCTGATTGTAAATATTCCTCGATGAACTGGACAGATTTTCATTTTTGCCATGAACAACACTTAGATCCAAGTTGCTGTTATGCTGAAAAGTATTATCCATCTGGGCATGGGAATGGGAATTAGCCTGGCCATGAGTTTGGGCCTTGTCCACTTCTGCTCCATGATTCTGTACAATGCTATCAATTTTTTTTTTGCGGTTTATTTCAATCTCTTGTGTCTCCAGTAGCTTAAGTTGTTCGTCCAGGTCAGAATTGTTCCGCAGTAGCTGTGCACTAATATTGCCCACATTTAGTTTTGCTGCGAGGTCTTGAATGGAGGATGTCGGAATTAACTTTGATATAGACTTGGAATTGTTTTCTACCTTGCCCTTGTCCTTGTCATCTTCCACTGAATTGCCAACTAGTTTTTTGAGTGTGTCAATATTTTTATTAAACTTTTTCATAACAAGAATAAACTTTTTATCGGCATCTGTGATGCGCAGGCGTCGTATCTCCTCAGCCAAGGTGACAGGGTTGAGTAACAGTAGGGTCAACTTCTTGTCGACATGGTTAAGTCTTTGAAAAAAAGTCTCCTCTGCCCGAATGGTCTGCCGTATATGACCGATTTGAGAAGCACTTAGTGACTGCAGATCTGAAATTTTATTGATTTCCCCTATCAGAGTCTCAGTTATGCTGTCTAATATAGATATGTTGTCCTCGTAGAAGTAGCCAAAGCTATTTGCCTTTCGCCGATTTTCGCTTTCGCTTTGAGTTGTACTCGTTTCTGCTTCAGTCATACCCGAATCTCTCAATGCACTGCTGTTCTCGAATTTGTTCGAGACGGTGGTATGGAAACTTCTTGCTGATTGTGACTGCGCAAGAATGCATTTCAGATTATTTATCATTTCCATTTCATTCTTTTGGTGCTTCTTTTTTTTTCTGTGCTTCCTTGAATCTCTGTTAATGTGAATGGTCGCTGGAGCACTGGAATCAGTTGACGCTTCGTTTATTGTGGCATTAAAGATGCTACTGATGCCTGTGCCATCATCCTCCTTGCCCTTATTGATCATCATCAAGGAAGACGTTGAGTGCTCGTGAGCCTCTGAATGTTGTAATAATGAATCAACCTTGGAAATTTCCGAGCTCAAGTCATTATCACGATATGCTTCATTGAGTGTTTTATAAAAAGTTTCGTTCATTTCATTATTATTTGTTAGCAGAGGCTGTGTTCCTCCAGTGTCCTCAATAGGCACGACTTGGTTTCCCCCTTCTCCCGTTTTAGAGGCTGCCAACCGAAAAAACGTAACTTCCTCGATAAGGTCGTCAACTTCATTGGAGACATAGCTGGGATGTCTGATTGGTTCCCCTTCGTGAACTCTTTGGCTGTATGAATGTGTTCTTTGGCTATGGTTTTGGTTCTGAATTTGGGGCCGCTCCGAATTAACTATTTGTGGTAAGTTAGGAAAGCTCTTAGGCGTGGATAGAACTGCTGATGCTGAGGCCGATGCAACGTCAGTTAAAACCCGTTGTCCGTTCAGAAATTCTTGTAGTAATTCAGCACGTGCGTTGTTTGCCAGAGTCTGCTGTTGCTCATAAATTATTAGATCAGAATCAGAATAAAGTTTTTTTCGTGGCTTTTTACGGTGGATGTCAACATCAGATAGCCAAACGTTTGCGGCTCTGTCGCTTTTCACGAAATTGATTCCCATTCGTTTGATATCCACATTGTTGTCATCTAAAGTTCCACTGTCGTAGTTAAGAAAAAGCTCATCTGGATTGTGTTCCAATACACAAGCTGCATTCATAAATATATCGGAGTCCCGATGACCCATCAAAGTTTTAGGACCAAGGTCATCCAAGCTGATAATTTTGTCATAGTTCTGATCAGACGTCGGCGCGCTCATTTCCATGTCAATATTGACATTTTTGTCCATTTCTAGTGGCAGTGAGAGCAATTGCTCATCTGCAAGAAATTGGGTTTTTTGGCTTTCCATGTCCTCCTGCTGCTGAAGCTGTTGCTGCTTTGCTGCTCTGATTAGACCCATCAAATTACTAACAACGGACTGATGTTCCACTGATATGTTCTCAAGCTTCTCCAAGCGAATCCAAATTTTTCCATACTCCGTGGACAGCAAATCCAATGCCCTCCAGGCGAACTTCAACTCTGTTTCAAGCAAACTAATCCGGGTTGCAATTTTGTCCATATAATCGGAAATTATATAATCGGAGTGTTGCTGAGAATTGTATATCTGACACAGCTGCTGCTCGCTCCTTACTGACAGCATGCTGCCATTAGTGGGGTAAGAGTGAGATTGAGATGCCACCAGGCTGCACTGTGCCTGCAATTGTGGTTGAGCGGGAGTGAAAGTGGGAGCACTGCCCAAAATTAGATGATGCTGACGATACATTGACATTTGATCTACCTTTTGCAGAAGCTGGCTCTGGCTGTCCTGTGCCTGAGATTGAGACTGCGAGTGGGAATGGGAATGAGCACGTGATTGGGATTGTGTCTGGTGCGACTTCGCATATTTCGCGGATTGCTGATTCTGGTCTCTCAGTTGTTGTTTTATCTGGAACTGACTCTTTAAAGCATTTTCTGCTACAATGTGCTGAAGCTTTTCAATGGCAATTTCTGATATCGGATCAGGTGCAGCCACCTGATGTTGGTACTGACTAAACTGGTCGGGGACCCCAGAATAATTTTCAGGTAATGGCGCCAGCGTATGAGCTGCATTAATCGTATTGGTCCGAGATGCGAATTGAATATTTGACGAAGGCGTTTTGGATTCTTTTGGATTAAAAGACATAATGGAAACGGAGCTGGTATGCAAATTGCACCTAAATTATTACAACTTTAAAAGTCTTCGATCTAGGATATATTATTTCATACATACGTTGAGTCCAGAATTCAAAGTGATTTAGCTGAAAGCCTAGTACTTTATGCAGGTCGACAGTAACTTTGAAAGTAATTCGATTGGTAAATAGATACATACATTCACAAATAACATCGGTATGTATGTATGGAAATTTATAAATCCTAATAATGTAGATATTCGCCCGGATTAAATGTATTGACTGAATTGCGAATTAATTTAGATGAAATCACCTTCATATGTAAGTTATCATTATTTTAACACAAAAAATGGGACATTTATGTATATGTAAGTAGAGTTAATTTCAATAATCAATAAGAAGTACAGAAATTATAGTTCGAGTTGAAGGGCTCACACGACTATTATTGTTGCTTGTCACACGATAGGGATGGGAAGAATAAACAAAAAGTTCTCTCCCTGTAGATGGGCAATTAAAAGATTTTCTAAAAGAACCACTGCACAGAACGATTTACACTACTATTTTTGTTGTGAGCGTAAGCATAAATCAGCACTCAACAACAATGAATTGTATATTCAAAACTAATTTTATGAATAATGAGTGCCTAACAGTAGTGCCATACACTATTTTTTTTTTATGTTCAGCAGAAAAAATAAGTCTTCTTTTGTCGCGTCTTGGATGTGATGCACATATGTACATATGTAAGTATCTGACTCAATTCATATTTTGCACAAAATTCTGTATACGCATATCTTTTCGTTGCCGTTGCCTTTGTGGCTATTTGTATCGTATCCTATTGTTGCATGTTATGTGAAGTTGGTTGCCAGCGAATATCTTTGATTATACGAATTAAACTCAGATTTGTATGCCATTTTTCCTAGCACACACTTTAGAAAGGGAAAAAGCAAACTGCGCACAAAGTTGTGTGTTCCGATGCGAATTGAAAAGCGTTGAAATGTGTACTACGACTTTGTAAATTGTTGGGCATTTCGGTTCACCTTTTTGATGGAGTTGCTGTTACTAACTAAGCTTGTATGCGAGTACAGGCACATAAATATACGCCATTGCAAGTGTGTGTAAAACACCCTTAGAACTTTTGTTTTTAGTACACATGAGAAAGGCAAAATGTCAAAATACTTGTGTATACAGGCGAAGGCACACATGCTCAGAGAGCGAGACTGACAGTAACCGCGAGAGAATGAGTATCAGGTAGATGTGTCTACTGCGCATGACAGATTCATCACCATTGCCTAGACTAGTGTTAATTGTTGCGTTTCCTTTCCCAACATAATCTTATCTAGGCAAAGATAAGCGTGAACTTCATTAATTGAATTATAGCTAATGTCTGATTTTAGGCCTGATTTTCAATTGATAGTACTGTGTACTGTTCGGAAAATCTCCAGCTTGGTCAGAAATGTTTTATATTGTTTGCAATATGTGTACAAAAATATGTATGTAAATACGCAAAAATTATTGTTTTATACCCGGTACTCGAAGAGTATGTAGGGTATATTTTATTTGTGCACAAAGTGAATGTATGTAACGCACAGAAGGAAACGTTTCCGAACCATAAAGTATATATATTCTTGATCAGCATCAATAGCCGAGTCGATTGAGCCATTTCTGTCTGTCCTTCCGTCCGTATTGTTGAGCGCCTGAATCTCAGAGACCATAAAAGCTTGAGCCACCCAATTTTGCATCCAGACTTCTGTGTGCTCACCCTGTTACAAGTGTATTTCAAAAATGAGCCCCGCCCCTTTCCGCCACCGCAAAAATTGCGAAAACCTCACAAACCTACAATTTTGAAGATAAAAGAAAACTATAAATGCGATTTCGTAAGGAATGACCATATATATCAGGTCATCAAATTGGGATCCGATTGGATTATTATTATAGCCACAATGAAGAAATTAATTTGCAGTGGCTAACCCCACCCCGTCCCGCACTTTATATTTGTTTTTTTTCACATTCTCTCATTCACGTGTTGGCGTGAGAAGTTTTGTAGATGTAGATGACAGATGAAGAAAAAATTTTAAATTTGACAAAACACTGCTAGGGTGCGGATGTAGTACTGAGTCCCAGGTATAAAAGTTGTGACGCGTAAGAAGCGTCTCACACGCCCCTTCTCGTTTTAAATTTTAGGCACGTCTACTGGCTTTCAGCTGAAAAACTTATTCACCACTTGAGACATATGTATGTAAATATGTTTTCGAGCATACACAGCCAGTAAGGCAGCAAAATTTAATCTAAAAGGTTAGCAAAATATGGTTGTGTTTCCAGCTCAAGACGAGTTCTGAACAGAAATTTCTCTCGCTCTCACTACATGCCTTTCCCATAAGGCTATACTGCATGCTTTTTCCATAAGACTACATATGTTTTTCAGTTATTCAGTTAGCAGTATTGTAACATGGGCTAGGCTCTTAGCCTAGGCATAGGTACATAAATATCTCATCTAAATAAGGACGTCAATTCGATTTAGTAGGTTTTAACGAAAATATATAAGTACATATATGTATATATAATATAAATATTTAAAATATTTTATGATCAAAATTCTAGTTCTGAGTGCTAACACTACATAGTCCCAACTATTAGATGCACTTACAAAAAACTGGCCAAGCTCTATTTTAAATTTGCAGCACATGTATGTACATATACAGCTGCGGCGTTAAAATAGCACCATGACACTCATTTTTTTTATTTGAGATATTTTGTTAAAACAATGGATCTAATAAACGATTTAAAAACTATAATATCAACTCTGAGGCTTAATTCAACTTATCCGAAAGAAATTAAATGCTTTGAAGGCTTCAGTTGGAAATATTTGGAAAGAAAAGGAATTATTCCGGTATAATAGCACAAATTTCATAAAAGCTCAAAAAACTTTAAATTGTTTTAAAACCCCTTAGAGCTTTCTTTTTCGTCTGTTTTGGGTAATTTCCCTGATGAAAATACACGAATCAACGCATTTTTCTATTGCATATAAGGCAGCATTATTGTGTAATAACAAAGACATGTTGGTACCACCTCCATAATACGAAAAGCATGCACATACAATGATTATTGTCTCATCATGATTATTAGATGTAAATATGGGTTGTAAAGGGTTGTGTTTTTCATTTGGTAGTCGTTTTAAATAAGATAAAACGTTTTTTCAACAAACAAAAAAAATTGGGTCCCTCCGGATCACAGGATCCATATTTATTTGGGCCAACTCCAGTGTTTTTTCTACCTTGTATTCACTTTTTTTTAAGCTAGATCTACCTTTGCATGTCTTTGGAAATTTTTTAAGATATATTTTAAGCTCTGTGGTCGACTTAAAATTATCCCTCATGCTCTCAGAAACCCGCAATTTCAGCCGGAAAGTGGATATTGCTCCAATTTTTTCACGAGTTTCTTGTTGGTAACATGTTTTAAAGCATTACGAATCATTTTAGATGATGAACCTACTATTTACCTCATATAAGGATATCTTTCTTCTTTTGGAGTTAAAGTTTTGATCCTTTGGCTTTTTTCTTCCCTAAAGTGTTTTCGACGACCCATAACAACAAATAATTTGTAACTATCTGTTGTCAAACGACTTAAACCAACGACATTTATATCAATTAAAAACAAAATAATATAAAAAAAAGCTCGGAAAAGTAAAAGTTTGTATGAAATACAAACTATTTTTGTTGCCGTTCAATCTCGCTTATTTTTCGAAAAATTGCCTCAATTTTTGAGAGCCTCCAAAATTGTAAGAGTAAGGGACACTTCTCTCAGATAGGAGACATGACATCTCAACATACTTTATATTACTGCAAAGTGCAAAAATGTATGTATGTATGTATTGGTTGCAGCTAGAAGATATACAGTTACATATTTATTAAAATAAAGCTAAATACAAAGGCAACATGCCTAACATTCACCGGCCCAGGGATCATCTCTGTTAGTCATCTCTAAATTATTTATTAGCAGACTGCAACTTTCCCTGAGCCAATGTGAGAAAAACATTTTCTTTCTAAGGATATTTCATACTTGCTCATCAAAATTGTACTTTATTGTAGCTATAAAATATCCCTGAAAGCATGTGGATTTATGTCCATACATATATTCACAGAAAAACCTTACATGTGCGGCTTGACCTCGATATTTCAGGAGTATGCTTAACTTGCGGGTACGTTCCGCCACGGATGGACTCATGTTCGTGAGGTTTGAGTAAGCCGAATTTGTGGAATTTTTCTTCTTTCGAGTACATATCATATTGACTGAAATTCGTGCAGCGTGTTTATAGTGAAGCGTAGAACTGTCATTGCGGTATCAGTGTTATTTGTAATATACTCATATGGGTTGCTTTTTCGGTACCATGACATAAAAACGGTGCAACTTCAACGCAACGATGTTTGTGCTAGATTATCAACACAGGCTATGGCTATAGGGCTACGCTACCCTACATTACGAATAAATTACGAAGAGTGCGGGTGACGGTAACCATGCACTTGAATATTACGACTTAGGGGAAGAGTTGACAATGTGTTTGCTTATACCGTTGGAGGCAAAACGAGAAGGGACGTGTGAGACGCTTCTTACGCGTCACAACTTTTATACCCGGCACCAATTTGGAGATCAGATAGATGTGGTTAGTTAGTTAGTTTCCTTTTATCTTCAAAATTGTAGATTTGTGAGGTTTTCGCCCTTTTACCTTACAGACTTACAGACGGATAGACATTTATGGCTACATCAAATCGGCCATGGATGTTGATCAATAATATATGCATATTATTAAGGGGTCGCAAACGCTTCCATGTTACACATATCCAGCAAAAAACTAAGACATAAATATACGAGTATATCCCTGTAACCTTCGAGTACCGCGCATACAAATTAGGTCAGTTCAAATGCGAAGTAGAATCATAGGGAAGTGCCTACAATTCTGCAACATCATTTCAAATGAGCATCAGAAATAGATTTCACTGACGAAATGACCATGGTACATATCAATCATTTGCTCCGTTTAATAATTCGACCCAACAACCCAAAGATTACCAATCATACGCTCAAGTTGCTGCAGGAAATAGTACCTCGAACAAGTCTCTAGAAAGAATAGAACAGCTTCTAGAAAAACAATCTCAACTTACCAATAATTTACTTAACATGATAATGTTACTTGTAAATAAGCTATGCAAATAAATCTAAACTTAGGAATATGGAATGCCA